TATTCAGCACTTCCCATGATTTTCTGTTACCCAGCATAGCCATAGCCTCCCACTGTTGCATGATACCTCACTAAAGTCAATGATCATGCTTTGTATTAATAAATAAATGTAAAGGGCCAGATGTGCTCCTAGGAGTGTAAAGGGCTGCTCCTGCACAATGTAGGCAATGAGAGTTTTGCCATTCACTTTAGTGGAAGCAGGATCAGGCTCATAGAATTAGATCCTGCAAAAGGACACTCTGGCCCTGATCAAGCAAAGTACTTAAGCATGAACTTAACTTGAAGCATGTGGATAATCCCCATGTTTAAAGATAAGCATGTGCTTAAGGTGGGGAAGCACTTAAGCACTTACTTAAGTTCTGTTGGCTTCAATGCTTAAAGTTAAGCATGTGCTTATAAGTGCTTTACTGAATAGGGATTCTTTGCTAGATCAGTGCATAAGGGCCAGTGCTTAAAGGTATTTAGGCACCAAAATATGTAGATAGGTGCCTAGCCAAATTTTCTAAAGGGCCAATGGGAATTCGGCACCTGGGCCCTTTGGAAAATCCCAATAGGCACCTATCTGCATCTTTAGGCACCTAAATGCCTTTGTAAAGCTAGGTCTAAGTGCTTTGCCACATTGGGGCCAGAGTGCTCAGCACGTTGAAGGATCAAGCCTTAAATCGATACGCCTGGATTAGTACTAGTCAATAGCTAAGAGCTTGTTTTGAAGGCATCTGGACCAACGGGCAGCTTTCTATGAAAAGAGAGGTTGGTTGTGTTTCACAGGCAGGATAGACTTAAAAACAGTACAGAGATGTACTGAAAGATTCAGTTTGCACAAAGAAGTAGCTTTTTCATTGCCTGTAAAATGTCAGGAAATAATAAAATCAGTAGCAAGCAATCTACTAGCAATTCTATCCTCCTAACCTTTCTGTAAGAACAAAACAACTTCCTGTGTGCCTTAGCACCCAAAAATGTTTTATGGAGCAAGAAAACAGAGTTCAAATTTTCAGATAGTTGATTTTGTTTTGCATAATGCATTTACTGCTGCTGTCTGCAAGAGTAAAATTTACAGTTGCCAGAAAACATAAAAACTCCGATGTACACAGAGTAAGTTGCTGCATGTAAAGGAGGGAAACCTACTAAAAACCCGTTTGGAAAATGCCCGTTGATCTGAGAGGGACACCAGTACCTTTTATTCTACCTTTATTCAGATAACAATTGTTTATCTGGTTTGGGAAACAGTGCCAGTGGGCACCATTAAAAAGCAGTCATCATTTACTAAGCGTGTTAGATTAACCCAGCTGAATTATGGCCTAAGGGTGTTTGTACAACAAAACAAGGTTCAGTCTTTAGTGGTGAGGGTCCACACATTTGTAAGATAAACAAAGGAACATTTTTATTTTTACAGATTGTGGTGAAAAAAAAATTGTTTAAGCAGTTGGCCAGAATAGCTCAGGAGATTGGTAGTAATATCTGGATATTTTCACCCCTAGTTCCCAGTTCAATTATATCCCAAGTCAGTGGATACCAAAAACTCCCTACAATTTGATAACAGTTTGCTGATCTATGTGAAATGAGCTGCGAATCTCAGTTCAGCTACCAAAGTACAGGAAGCCATAATACCAAAAACTTCATCAGTAGTTGGCAACCAGGTTGACAGATTCAGCAACTAAAGATCAGATCAGCAAGAGGATTGAGCTACCCTTTCACTTCTAGAGATGGTGCTTCCACAACACAGCTGAAGTATGACAGATTAAGGGAAAGAGGTATGTGCGTGCATGTGTGTTTAGGAGCGCACTGCTACTCACCATGCTACAACTTGTTCTGTACTTAAAAGTGAGACTTCAGTCTCCAGGGCTTTCCAACACTTTCAGAAAAAATACATGTGAAAAATAGGTACTCTTGTAATAATAGTTTGGCAATAATTAAAGTCTAGGTATTGCTAAGTAAACCTGGTCTGTGTGCATGTGTAGTTTGTGTATGCATGTGTAGTACATACTGTATAACAACTGCTTCAGAAAATTGCATGACTGGTATGCAAGTAGATGGAATGCTGTATGCAAATGGAAAGTATGTTTTCATTTTCTTCCTTAAAACATACTTAGACTTATTCCTTTTGTTCCATTTACATTGTTAAAATCGTAGGCCCCAATTCAGCAAGGTAACTAAGCAGATGCTGAACTTTAAGATCATAGGAAGCAATTTTTTTAAAGTGTCTTCACCTATAGCATCTCATTTTCTTTTGTCCTTTTCATTGTTTTTATAGCTGTTTATGTCATTGTTTTTCATATTTCATATCAATACCTATTGCCAAGCTACTGCTCTCCTTTCTGTATGATGTTCTGTGACCCCTTGATTGTTGTTTAAGAAATTGTCCTCTTTAAGGAGGTTCAGTTTCAGCCTTCTCTTGCTGTTATCTTAGGGTACGACTGTACTTACCCGTTGGTTCGGCGGCAAGCAATCGAACTTCTGGGTTCAATTTATCGCGTCTTGTCTGGACGCGATAAATCGAACCCAGAAATGCTCGCCGTCGACTCCGGTACTTCTGCTCAGCGAGAGGAGTACGCGGAGTCGACGGGGGAGCCTGCCTGCCGCGTCTGGACCGCGGTAAGTTCGAACTAAGGTACGTCGACGTCAGCTACGTTATTCACTTAGCTGAAGTTGCGTATCTTAGTTCGAATTGGGGGGTTAGTGTAGACCAGCCCTTAGATTCCTTACATCTGTCTGTGTCAAGTGGAGTCTATTTGGAAAGTAATAATTTTGTGTGTGCTCTTGGCCAGCAGAATCAAACTCTGTCACTTTCTGTTGCGCTTAACACACCTTCTGCCTGTCAGACCTCCATAGACCTCTTCAGTTTCTGTTCTTGTATCTTTGGAGTGCATGAACCTGTGTTATTACAGCCTGTCACTTTGCTGATGTTAAAAGATTTGGTCACTGCAGCAAAGTAATCCATTGTTTTCAAAAAGTTAGTGGCACAGAAACTTCTCCCTCTTCCTCTTTTTTTGTAGTACAGTATGTCTGTGGCTTTCAACCTTCCCAGACTACTGTGCCCCTTTCAGGAGTCTGATTTGTCTTGTGTACCCTCAAGTTACACCTCAGTTAACATCTACTTGCTTACAAAATCAGACCTAAAAATACAAGAATGTCACAGCACGCTATTACTGAAAAATTGCTGACTTTCTCATTTTTACCATATAATTATAAAATAAATCAATTGAAATATAAATATTGTATACATTTCAGTGTATAGTATATAGAGCACTATAAACACGTCATTGTTTGTATGAAATTTTAGTTTGTCCTGACTTCACTAGTGTTTTCTATGTAGCCTATTGTAAAACCAGGCAAATATCTAGATGAGTTGATGTACCCCTGGAAGACCTCTGTGTACCCCCAAGACTATGCGTATCCCTGGTTGAAAACCACTGGTGTATGTTATTGATTGAATTCCTGATTTCAATTATATTTTTCCTTTACTTTTTCCAGATAGCTTTTAATAATCTACAATACCACAAATATCTATCCTAGCAACTTGGGCCTAATAAGCAATCCATAATTTAAAGGTTTTCTTTTAGACATTAGGCTTTAAATAACTCCCTTGTACATGTAATGAAAAAGAGGATTTGCAGGTCAGGTATTAAAATTTCACTACAACATTTGTACATCATCACTAAGTGTATAGTAAATCTAAGGGATGATTTATCCCTCGACATGTATCCATGCATATCTTGAAAAAATCAGCATTTCTGCTGCTGCACATGTGCTCACTTGCTTATTTTGCAATGTATGCAGTGATGTAGGCCACAGTGTGATTTTGAGTATCTCAGTTTTTGGAAATCTGAGACATGTTGGGACTGATTTTCAAAAGTACACACCATTTATAACCCCAGTTGAAGTCAATGGGTAATTTGGGTGTCCAGCAACTTTAAAAATCCCAAACTCAGTGATAACTTTTGAAAATATAGTACATACTATACTGTACATTGTATATCAAAACCATGCTTCAGATACTAAAAAGTACAGATAACTGGGGGGCCAAAAGGATGTATCCTTCCATCAGTATTAAGTATTATACTTATGTTTGTTCTCTTTCTCTCTCTCAAGCGATTTGATCCGTTCTATTTCTGAATATGTTTTTGTCACTGTAGTTGCACTTTTTTCTTACAATAGTGGTAACCCATGAGCAGGGCAGGAAGGCAGCATTTGAATGTGTAAGTGACTCAATATTAAATTCAGAATTTAGTCACATATTTCCTGCAAATCTATTCCCAACAAAACTTTAAGTCCGAAACTCTTTGAATTTGCTCAAGGAATTACAATGAACTGCAGAATGTACGTGTTACTCTCTAATTTTGACTTAAAGATCACATAACGATGTTAAGGCCTCAATTAAAGAAAGCATTTACATAGTTCCTTAACTCCATCTCTGTTCAGGACAATATGTAAGCATGCGTTCAATGTTCAATTTAAATAAGTTCATTGAGACTTATGCATGTTCATGGTCTCCTAAATTAAGGCCTTACATTGTAAATGTCAGGCTATGTACTACTTTACAACATATGGAGTCAGATCATGTGGCAATAGATTTCCTTTACATTGCTGTAAATTTGTAGTAAACACATAGACTTTGGTGGAGTTTACACAGAATTTTCATAAGTATAGATGATACCAGAATTTGGCCCATTTTGTACATATGGTCAAATGATCAAGGGACAACCTATGAATGTAATTACATCTACTCCTGAAAGATTCCTTGTACACAGATACTGCTTTGATGCCAGACTCTCCCAGATAAACTTGTTTTCTTGATGAGAGAAAATAAACTTGATGGGCCTTTGAGCTTTAGATAAACAGATACGATATTAAATGTATACAACTCACTAGACCCCTACATTTGTTTTTAGGTTCAATGGTAAATGGATGGGGTTCTGCGTCTGATGAGGACCGTAACTTTTCTAGTCATAGATCTAGTGTAGGTAGCTCCTCAGATGACTCGATCTTTACCAGCGGCAGTTTTGCACAAGCACTGGTTGCAGCAGCAGATAAAGCTGGGTTTAGGCTGGATGGAACCAGCCTGACAAGAACAGGTTTGTAGACTCAAAGTTGATGCTTTCTGCATGGTCTCTTCCTTTTCTTTCTCTTCTTCTTTTCAGAGAACTTAAGTCTCACTCAGAATTTATTTAACCTGCATGGAATAAGGAGGTTGGACAGTTTTTTTCTGCATAGCTTTAATCAAAACCTTCCACTGTGTTTTAATTTTAGTACTCCGAAGCAATGAATAGCACAAGCTTTTAATCACCAGCTTCAGTCTGCTATTTCCCTTTACTCTGACTCCACTATGGATTTACTGACATGTGCTCCCTTTTATATTACAGCAAAGAGACTACTAATTTTGCCATGCAATTTTTGATGATTTATTTTTTGCAAAATCTTCTCACAATCAATAATATTTCTAGTGATGAAGAGCACACTTAGTCATTACCTCCATTACTGCTGTTCTAGTGCATCTCTTTTGCACAATGTGTTTTCTGGGAAGGCTCTCTAAGCATGGGATGAGCTGGTGTAAGTTTATCACTAACAGCCTTATTAATCAGTTGCTTTAATGGCACTTATTGGAATAACTTATTATATTTGGATTTCAGGATATTAATTAAAAATATATCAACTGCATCTACAAGTTAAATGTAAGAGTGGCAAAATCAGTATTGCTTTTGAAAACAACACACTCTTTCCTTCTGAAACAAATGAGTAAATATAATTTACTTTATGTAATTTATAATTCACAAGCCTCTTATGTGTCATGTTTCACGTGTTCATTTCTAGCAAAAAAAAAAAAGAGATAAGTAAAATGTAATAAAATGTTCTGGACACAGCAAGAATTGATTTGTGTATCCTGACTTTTATCAAAACTGCAAAACAACCTTTGCTGTTTAATTAAACTGACATAAACTAATAGCACAATATTAATTAGGGAACTTTTTTTTTGTAACACACTCATTTCACATTTCTGCCTGCAAGTACCACTCTGTTCCCATTAACTTTGGAACTTTTAGTACTATTCTCATATAAAGTTTGCCCTTTAGTACATTATTTGCATTTAGGAAAGTTGCCCATAAACATAGAGGCTGATCCTGCAGTCTTTATGCATGCAAAATTACCTCAGTGACTAGATGGCAAATGCTATACCTTAGAAATGGAGAAAAGGTTTTTGGCACTCACCCAAGCCACTCACAAAGACAGAGGGTAAAAAATCCTGGCTCCATTGGCATCAATGGGAGTTTTGCCATTGACTTCAGGGGAGCCGGGATTTCACCCCGACTCTTTAGTTAAATTCATCAATCTTTAAAACCAGTTATTTCACTTTTAAAAACAGACAAAGCTCTCCAATTGCTCCCCTGCAGTAGTGAAACATTGATTTGTTCAGTCTGTCTTTTCATAGGGAAATAAATAGACTGCCTGCCTTCAGACGTGCCATAATTTGGGGAGAATTTGGCCAAAATATCATTTAACACTGATTATTTTGCTTGAAGAGACTCTTTGAAAAGCCTTGTGTGAGAACATCGAAACTTTTGCACCCTTTCTAGTTTTTGTGCGCTCTCACTGGGACTTATTCAAAGTCCATTGAAGTCAATGTTGATTTAATGTTGTGTGGATCAGGCCCATTAAGAGGTACAGGCCCTCTTCCCCTCCACACACACAAACTTTAAAATGTATTATTTTGTAGCATATCCATGCAAGAAAGGTGCATCTTTCTGGTCAAGTATTGGGAGTGTTCAGCTCGAAAAACACCCAATTATTTGATGGTGGTGTTATGGTTTATCAAGCGATTGATGTGCATTTTTTAAAATTGCATGCTAACATATTACCTATTTGATGAACCATTACAGTTTAGAACATGCCAAAGTATCCCTTGTCATCATAGGACCATTAATACGCATATTACCTGATGCACAATAATGACTCTTCACAGGGCATTTCTCTAGCTGAGAAGAGGCAATATTCTTTATGATTGTCATTCAGGGATGGTATCTCAAGGCCTGATTCTCCACTACCTTATACCCTGTGTAGTCATTAACACCATCACTGGTGCGATTGGAGCCTTCTGATTTGGTAGCATCTTACACTCACTTTTCATGGGTGCCTGTGACTATGCAGGGGACAAGACATTGGTGAATCGGGACCAAAGTATCTCTCCTTCATGACACAGTCATTCAGGTTTCCATGTGCCACTGTGCTAATTGTCATATAGCTCAATGATTTGGAGTATTTTTTTCTTTTCATTTTTATAACACCCTATAACGGGACGATTATATCACCAATACAGACAGTCTGGCACAACTGAGCAGATTTTACTAAAGAGACAAGAATAACAGATATGCTACAAGTCAGATCTGAAGTGCACTGAAAGAATTGTGCTGGGAAGCTTGCACATCACCTGCCTGCCCTATGTATGACTCAAGTCAGTACTATTGTTAGCCCCTCTCTTTCATAGGTACTTAAGTCAATCACAAACATGTCATATATTTTTTCCAAAGCCTGCATGCTGAATTAAGGGTTAGACTTATACGCATGAAAGCAAGAGAATTCACTTAAAGATGAAATTTCATCCTAGATTCAGGGCTTGTCTACAAGGTGCTTTAGTCTGCACCAAATTTTAGTCCTCACTAGCATCTCATGCACTGACTGACCAGTCGGGACCATACTGGTGTGCACTAAAAGTTCCCCAAGTGCTCATTAATGTAGTCCCGTTTCAAACAGTGCTACATTAACGCGCACTAGGAAACTTTTACTTTAATCTCCTCTGGTGCAGATTAAAGTTCCACGGAGGAGGTTATTTTTACACTCCATGGTGTCTACGTGCTGGCGGGGTTTATTTTTACAAAACATCTGTGCTGCAATATGGAGTGACTTAATGATGGGATTTCAGACTCATCTCTGAATTTCTTTTCCTTACAATTTTTAAATCAAATCCTCACTATTTTGGCATGTATTTGTTTCTGGTTGAATCTATAACTAGGAAAAATAAGAAATCAAATGCTGAAAAAGCAATTCTTGCATGTACGAATTACTAAAAATCAATCTTTGGGAGATTGTGGGAGAGATCTTGATTCCTTTGCACCACTCTGGCAGTGCAAAGGGCTGTAACACTCTACCAATTGGCAGATAAAGATTCCCTTGTCACGGAGGAAACCCCAGATGACAGAAAGCCAACATAGCTATCTCTAACCCTAAAAGACCCCTCCAGAATAGGGTATGTGCTAGGGCATGTCTAAAAGAAGGGGGTGTATTTAGAACACTACTGTACTCCAGTGACCCCCTGCAAGCATACTGGCTCTTTGAGGGATTTTAACAGCCAGTTTAGGTTAGAGCAGCCCACAGTCTTCTCTAAGTTCTTCACCAGACACCAAAACCACTCCCAAGCAGCCTGGGGAGCACAAAGATGTCATACAGCCATCTTATCTCTCCTATCAAGTCCTGTGCAGTTTGGCTTAAGCATTGGTCCTTCTGGGTTTAAAAGAAAAACAAGATGTTTGGTTGCCTTAACACATTCAACTCTGGATACAATTAAAGAAAATCAGAATAACCACCAGTTCAAAACAAAGTACAATGTTAAAATTCCTAAGGTACTTGTTACAGATGTCAAACAAATGAAACAAGAATAAAACATTCTGAAAAGATTCCAAAGGGCTCATCCAATCTTAATAGAAAATAAGCTAATGTATTCAAAAGACTTTGGAGAATTTGATTGAATTAATATATACATGTAAAAATAGAAATGAAAAAAGCAACTGAATTGTCATCAAACAAGCCCTGCTGTGATACTTTTGAATGCCCCATTAGAATAGAGTCAAGCAGAGGAGGGGTGTTTTTTTAGAGGAAGTGTTTTCAGTGTAAACAGAACTCTGAGTAATCAATTCAGTTAGCCAACATATGTCCAGGATAAGTTTTTACATACACGTGCATACTCACAAAATAATAAATAAAATAATGGGGAAATCTTTACAAAAATAAATGTTCTTGCTCTTTGTTTGGGTCCATAGATCTACAGGCATGAGTTAGTATATATTTTGTAAAATCAGCTACATTAGTGTCATTGGCGTTACACCACATATACAGTACACTGGAGTCACAAAGATAAGAATCTGACCCAGTATATGTTTGCTATACACAGAGAAAGAGATGGTATATGGTGAATAAATGTTATACAATTGCAAAACTATTTTATCCCCCTGCAAGTGTAAGAAATTATTCTGAACACATATGTTTAGTATAAAAAGTAGATATGAGTTAAACAACATATAATAGTTTTACCATAATGGTTTTAGTTAAATATAATGCTGAGTTTCCCACTTGGCTTATTGTGGAATATTTTTAAATGATTGTCATCAGCGGATATTTCAGCAGGGCACTTACTTTATCGTCATCATCATCATTAATAACATTAGTATTACCAGAGAGCCTAGGAACTCTAGTCATAGACAATGACCCCACTGTGCTAGGTGCTGTACAAACACAGAACAAAAAGATGATCCCCGCCCCAAAGGGCTGACAATTTTCACATGAGCGCTGAAAGGAAAGATATGCAGTACTTCAGATCAGACACATGAGAGCACAGCCTGCTTCATTGCAATAATGTTTTCCATTTTGATTTCCTTTTTTTTCCCTCTAGGCAAAGCATACCCTTCCTCTCAGCGACCTCGGCCAAGCAGCCCATTTTCAACTGACAGTAACACCAGTGCAGCCCTGAATCAGAGTCAGAGGCCTAGGCCTACTAAAAAACACAAGGGGGGTAGATTGGACCAACCCCCATTGCCTCATCGCAGGGAGGGAATGACAGACGGTAAGTTCTTTGGTTTGAAGTCAGCTCCGTAGTAATACTGATATGTTGCATGCATGCAGGACTGAAAAAAATGTAGAGTGTTCCCTTAAAGCATGTGTGCTCCAATGAGCTATTTGTTCCACGATGTAAGCTCTCTAAGTTGTCAAGTGAATAATGTTGAAATGAGAGCTGTGCAAAACTTGGTTGATTCATCATTGAGCAAGACTTCAAGCAAACCTTTCTTTGGTTCGTCTATGGATGGGTTAACTCCTCTCAGGTTTTCAGAAATTTCATTGCAAGTCACATCTAAAACGACTGAATTTCATCTGGTTTCACTCCAAAACCATGACTTTAGCCAATGCATGGAGGTAACAATATTCAAATGAATTTCCCAAAAACAAATTCAAAGTGTGCCATGCTATGTTCCTCTTTGCTCCTGCTTTTTGTGCCACCCATACAAAAGGTCCATATTAACCCATAACATGCTTTCCTTGCCTACCTATCCCACTGCTTGGTAATGCTATCCCATTCCTGAATTCCACTCACCTCCACGCCCTAGTGGCTCTGTCTTTCTCTTCAATTCTCTGACACCCCTGTTTCTCTCTAATCCCCTCTTCCAAACTGCAAATCCCTGGTGGATCTGTTCCTTCTAATCATCTGAACAGCCACCTCTCCTGTTATTCCTACCTCACTTACACTTGTGATTAGCAAAAGAAGCAACCACCATCTGCTACTCCTGTGTGTGGCTGTCTTACCACTTTTGCTGCTCTCATAGCTGGCTACGGTAAACGCTGAAGGATTTGGAGAGGGCAGCGGGCAAACAATCAGCTTTAAAAGAGCCATCAGCCATTTTCACCACTCCTGTAATGAGGGTGGGGATGTGGATGCTCTCCTCATTGTTCTGGTCAACCCTTCAGTGCACCCTGATGCTTTGCAGCTGCCCTCTCTTCCAAACAGGCAAATCAGAAACGGAAAGAAGGACATCCCCTGGGGCTGCATTTTTCCCTACTTCAGTTGGTACCATAGGATCCTCTGAACTTTGTGATCCCTCAAACAATGCTTGGGTGGGATTTATGCCTGTGAGTCTGTGTTCACTCAGAAATGAGTCTCTTGCTCTTTCTAATGGTTAGTGAGCCTTGACAAATCTTCCAGCAAATGCAGAAGTCAGGTGGTGTGTGGTGTCAGGTTCTGTTATGAACATTTCTCGGCGCTCTAAATTCATTAGTAAACTCTTCCATTACTTATTTATTTAATAAACTTATAAATTGCAGAGCACTGCAAGCTACATATTTTAACTATACTATACCCTCCTGGCTGATTTTAAATTTACATCTTTAGTGGAACATAATGCTTGTCAAATCCATAGAAGAAGAATCAGAGAGGAAGTACGTCTAGTGACTAAAGCAGTGGAGCTGGAGTTAGCACTTCAGTTACTTCCTCATCTTTGCCACTGACTTGCCCAGTCTTTGCCTCTGCTCACCTTTGCCTATGCCACTGTAAGGAGGATACTCACACTCTGATTGCAAAGAACAGCTCATAGACTGCAGCTTCATAATAATCACTCCTGGGAAAACAATGAATGGCCAGATCTTGCAGAAAGGGGTGCCTGTAGCCTACCTTCCAACCATATGCTGTGCCTTCCTCCAGTTGATGACAGCCCAAGAGTCTGTTTGACTTGGCCATGCAAGGCAGCCAGCACTTTACACTCATAAGGAGGGCTAGACTAAGCCCAAGCCAACCCTCCATCTCTGCTTGGGGTTTGTGCTAAAGCATCTGAATCCCAGTCCCTCAATTAGGCAATCAGAAGACAAGGCCTTCACCCCCACCACCCGCCATTTCAATTATAAATTGGCTTGCAAATTTATGATCCAGCCATTAGATATTGCTAGTGGTGGCTGGCTGGCATCAGTACCTGACATCAGAAAGATGAATCCCATTGGGATGGAACAACTAAGATACTAGACAATACCATCATGTACCAGGGTCTCCCCTCTGAAATCCCCTCATTTCTTGGTTTACAATTTTCTTGGAGCGATTGACCTTAGGAAACGAGTTGACTCCCCTCCATGTGTGCTATGGAGATGCATCTAACCATACTAGCATGGCCATAGGGAAGTGGGATTGTAAATCCATCCAGTCGCTCTTATCCTTTGCTGGTAGCCCAAATCCCAACCTGTTGACTGATCACTATGTGGTGATTTTATATTATGTGGGGTGCTGCCACCACCACTGATTTACACACAGAACAGAGTGTGTGGGCGGGAGAGATTAGCCTGCTGTGAAATGGGAACGGGCTCATCATGGTTCCAGATGCAGTGAGATCTTTATATAGGCTCAGGGAAGACAGCAGAGTGTGTCTGGTGAGCTTAACTAAGGCTAAAGTTAGGGGGGAGGGATAATTAATGCTGCAGACACAGGAAAAGAAGTGAGGCAAAAGGGTACCACTAATGCAAAACTTCTTTTAGAAAAGGGAGGAAAGGGTGTTGCTTTCCCAGCCAATCCTGAGACAGAGAGCAAGCAATTAGACAGCTCAACACTAAATCCGACCATGACTGGCTAGTAGGGCCATCAGTGCTTACAGTCCTCCCCTGCCAGCCTTTGTACAACATGGGCTCCACAACCCTCGATTCAGGGTGGGACCAGCCTAGATAGATTCTCTAAGACAGACCTACCCTACTTCCAAAAAAGTGTGAGACTGCCTTCAAAAATAACTTGTTTAACTTGCTGATATCATCCAAGCATTTCAAAGTCCTTTAGAAACATCAATATTCACATCACTGCTGTGCAGTAGGCAACGATATCCATTTTACAGATGGAATTGCAGGAAAGGTGAGGATGAGTGATTTCCCAAGGTCACAGAGGAAATCTGCTGCAGGTCCAGGAGTTGTGTCCAGATCTCCTGATTCCCAAGCTGTACCTTAACAACAAGGCTTTCTTCCTCTCCAGTGTTTGATTAATGAAAGTTTGCTAAGTGCATTGGGATAGTCAGATGAAAGGCACTGTATACAGTAAAATATTAATACTGAAACAATTTTTGAATTTAATGTTCTTTTTCTGTGCTACTGTCTGTTGCAGATTTAAAACTTACACATCTGTTGCTCCCTATTATTTTATTTTATTTTATTTTGTTCATGTGAAATTGTAATAGTTCTGTGTTAGAGAATCAGATTCCATATTACAGACTGCCTTTACTGAATTCCATGGACGTTCAAATAGAGGTTGTAAGTTACAACTTCAATAATCTGAATTTCAAATTGCATAAGCAGATGCCAGTGTCGTGGTTCTGTAAGGTAACTGGTTATGATTGCAGTAAAATCAATTATAAGGAATGCCATTTTGGAAGCCAACACTATAAAGCAATTTTAACATTGGCAGGCTCCCATACCCCTCCCGTCGTCCACCTACAATAACTCAAACACAGTCGTTGGCATGGAAGGTCATATTTATATTCATAACTAAAAAAAATCAAATAAATTAGCACTGAACATAAAGTATACACCAAGCCCACTGACAGATTATTATAATATTGTGCTAGCCAGAAGAGAGAGATCTCAATCTGGGGGTTGGCACCTCATTCAAGAACAAAGGTACAGTGCTGCTACCAGATATAATTCTCCTGTCCCATACACTGACCTGTTGTCCGAAATAACCAGCATTTTCTCATTTAACTATGCAAGACAGAAGTGCTGACTGGGAAGATGTTTCATCAACTTTGGAGAAAACACTGCCCCACACATAGGAAATGCAAGTATCACCTCTACTATCAAGGACATGAAAATGAGGAATCATACCCCATATAAAACTGAAACACTGCCATCCTTTTAAAATAAATCTGTTGACCAAGATCTCCTCATCAATATGTAAAAATTGCTTCAGTCCCTTCATAGCTACAACCCTGAGACTCCACTGCAGGTTCCAAAAGCAGAGGAATACTCCATACTATCCACTGTTCCTGGTCAAGTTCCATTTAAAAGTTTTCAAATGCTATAATTTCTGAAGGGTAAAAAACAAAAGGATAGAGCTTCAGCTGGTATAAACACTGCATAACTCCACTGGGCTACACAATCTGAGGATCTCTCCCAACATATCTGTAAAATTTTCCCAATACAATTAGTTGAACCATAATATAGTACATAACAATGATGAGCTACAGGCTGTTCCTCATACACTATAGATAGGCAGCATGGGCAGCTTCTCAGGGGAATGTCAGAGACACCTCAATTTTTTTTCAATTCCTCACAATCTGAGTTTGAGGCATAAAGAGCCACGGCCTCTTGTTTTCCCATTGTATAACTTCAGTCAAAATTTCACTTTTTTGAGCTATAATTTTCCAACTTTGATCACTGTCTCAGGATTCTATATAGTGAGAAAAGTATGCTTATCTAGTTCAAAAAAGAACTAGATAACTCCATGAAGGATAGGTCCACCAATGGCTATAAGCCAGGATGGACAGGGATGGTGTCCCTAACCTCTGACCTCTGTTTGCCAGAAGCTGGGAATGGGTGACAGGGGATGGATCACTTGGTGATTATCTGTTCTGTTCATTCCCTCTGGAGCACCTGACATTGGCCACTGTCGGAAGACAGGATACTGGGCTAGATGGACCTTTGGTCTGACCCAGTATGGCTGCTGTTATGTGCTTATGCTTTTGTCATCACAAACATACTTTGAAACCTCTTTTTTTGAACAGTACTACCACTTTAGTGGTTTAGTTTATAAACTTTGAAATGTAGCATACAAGTTATTCTGAACATCATGTGACTTTCATGTTCAGTTGAACATTTGTTTTGATGGGTAAACTATATGTTCTTTAAACTTATGAAGTCGCTGAAATTTTTCCAAAATAGCAAGTTTTGACTGAACTTTTTTTCTGAAAAAGTGAGATTTATTTTTTTTTGCAAAAAATATTCCTCTTATTAAATAGCTCTGTTTAAAATATATTTTGAACACTTATAATAATATATTGTCAGTGGTGACATATTTTTAAAATAACTTGATCTTTGAAATTTGGTGGGATTTGA